CACATGTTTAGCCGCGTGACTTCTAGGTCCTGCATGTGTTATTGAAGAATTATTTTCATCCTTCGTCCAGTCCCTTGTTTTCTACATTTATTCGTTTTCTCCCTCGTTCATATATATCTATGGTTCTATTCCGTTGTTCTCTGTTTTATCCGTAGATATATAAATAGTGTATGTTTCTCATTTTTAGTAGCTCTTCTAGACGCCATCGCGTATCGTGCTCATCGTCACTTGTTATTCGTTTTGTGTTTGTCTATTTTCATCTCTTTTTTTAAGTTTGTTTCAATAAAAGGAGATTCCGCTTTCAGCAATAATCGGTTTTTTAATATCAGCTTCAATTTAGTGAGAGCATCGCTCACATTTGGCGACCCTGATAACTTCTTCATACTCCCTCATCATCTGAAGAAGAACGAACTGAGGCAACATTAGACTAGCGGTAGTTGTGATTGGAAACTTATTTGAGAGCCGACCGAAAGGTAGACTAATTCTATTGAGAGCCGGCCCTTAGGTAGACTCATTACTTTATTTACTGTTCATATCGACATCACTGTTCACATTTTTTGGACATATTGATTTTTACAATATCGAGAACGAATCACGCTCGATTTTCTTTTTAAAAATTGCACTATGTCATAAATATCGGGAAATCCGAATTACTCGTTGGTTTTTCATAATTATTCATAACGGCTTCGGGGACGAGATCAAAAATAAAAGAAACTTGTCAAACATTAATCTCTTATCATCACATTACCGATGCTCCTTCTCGACAACACAAATCCAGTCCGCTTACTACAACACCAAGCGGCCCGTCTCCCACCGCAGCAACTACTACATCATCTCTGTTTTATCGTCTCAAATCATCAAAATGTCTGACTCATTAGGGATGTTACAAATAACGTGAATGAATGAATGACCATGTTTCTACGTACTTCGTCTTTTTGCTTAGTCAACTATTGAATTCATTAAATTTTTAGGAGCCATAATTTAGGTACAAAATAATCACTTGCTTAAACTTTTTAATTACCCTATTTATCTAAACTACTCACGTTTAGAATATAGCTTTCATTTTCATTCTTGAAAATGCTCAGTTCCGAAGCTGTATTCTAAACGTGAGTAGTTTAGATAAATAGGGTAATTAAAAAGTTTAAGCAAGTGATTATTTTGTACCTAAATTATGGCTCCTAAAAATTTAATGAATTCAATAGTTGGCTAAGCAAAAAGACGAAGAGAGCTTAGCCACATATCACTTAAGCACTGTACAGGGTGGGGGGCCTTCTTGAAAAGAAATAAAAAACAACTGTTATACGAGAAAAAACGTAGAGAATGACAGTAGGAAAAATAAAGGCAAAAAAGAATGTTGAGGAAAAACAACAAAACATCATAGTTCTTGTAACCGTTTAATTGGTGCTGCTGCTACATCACAACACAATCTGGTAGCATCTCTGTTGGCTATTGTAGCTTCAATTAAATATGTATTTATTGTTCGGCGTGGTGAGGTTGATTGATTTTCCTCATCTTCACGATCTGTCTCACCTTGCAGTGGTGGAGTAACAGCAGAGCGTCGACGTTGTTGTCTTCGTTCTCTTGTTGTTTTGGTTCTCGTTTGACTTGTCAGTGGTGATGGTTGAGATATGAGTTATGTGGTAGTTGGTGGCGTTGTTCGTCGTTGAGGTGTTGGCATAAATGATTCGGGTAGACTAACAACACTATTTCGATGTGACGAAAGAGCTGTTGGTATTAGAGGTATATCGTGTGGTGTTGGTGACCTCAATCTTTGACCAAGTCCTTGAAATATCGGAGATTGATTATCATCCTCCGTACCTAGTTGTTGTTGAGTAGGAGCTGGTAGTGCTGCTAGTACCACCACTATTAAGGAATTACGTCGTTGGATTGGATCAGATAGTGATTGTGTTTCACGGAAAACTCTATCATCTTCATTAATATCGATTGCTTCATCTTCATCTACCCAATTTCATCATCATTTTGATCCTTTGCTTGATGGGATCGACTATCTTGTTGTGTAGCTTGCCATTGTGGTGATTGTTGTTGCGACGTTGGTGTTTTTTGCTGTTGATGATAAAAATATTGAGTCGGGTCCGTTAGTGGCATGTGTTGAGCGAGTTTTATCACGGCAGCTCTACAAATAGAGAAAAAGAAACGCGCATTAATAAAAATCTAACATTATTTATTTTCTTAATAATGTATTCTTTTGAAAACAAAAGCAGAAACAAGCATTCTCCTAATTTGACCACAATTCGAAAGCATGGAACGCCGCTAAAGCTAGAGACTAATAGGAAAGCACAATAACCCTGGAATTAAAGTGACTCACAGGATAGAACAGGTTAAATCTAAAGAATCAAAGACAACTTTTGGTTACTTTTTCGTTTCCCGCGTTAGATGATCATAAATTCTTTTTGTTCGTATTCTTTGATAATATCTGTTGACGATCGTTAGTATCAATAAAGAATACCAAGATAGGTATTATATCCAGGGATCCAAAATTTGAGGTATGTCTCGTAATGAGGTAACCGTCCGTTGCCCCGAATTGATGAAATATTCGATCAGTTATCTGATGCCATGTATTTCACAAAGTTTGATTTCAAGAGTGGCTATTTTCAAATTCCTCTAGCAAAGGGAGATCGTCCAAAAACAGCATTTTCAACAAGAGACAATCATCATCAATTTACAGTTCTACCACAAGGTGTTACCAACGGCCCGGCAACTTTTCAACGCATCATCAACCATATTTTGGGTTCGACCCGGTGGAGATATGCTCTGGCATATATTGATGATATTATTGTTTATTCCAGAACATTTGAAGAACATTTATCCCACCTGAACGAAATTTGTCAACTTCTCAAGCAAACGAAATTTCGTCTCAATGCGAGTGAATGTGAAGTGGCTCGAACTGAAACACACTATCTCGGTCATTATATCAAACAAGGTGACATTCGTCCAAGCCCGGACAACATCCGTGGATTAGTGCATACCCAAATTTCAAGCACAGCCGAAGAAGCATGTAAATTCCTGAAAGCCGCAGAATATTATCGTAAGTTCATCCCGAGGTTCTCTTTAATTGGAGAACCATTGAGAAAATTCGTACCTACATCAAAAACCGGCAGAAAAGGACACAAGACCACCATCACGTTAACCGAAGATGAGCGGAAATCATTCGAAGAACTCAAGCAGATCCTAACAACCGATCTCGTTCTACGAATACCAAACACAGCGTATCCGTTCAAGATAAGGAATTGGCGCTGTATTACTACAGGTTTTTCCTGACGGGGATCGTCCAGTGGGATATTTATCGAAGAAATTCACGCCAACACAGCGACGCTGGTTTGCGACCGAACAAGAATGTTATGCACTAATGTGTTCCTTAGACAAATGGCATAATTATTTAAGTGGAACAAAATTCATTTGGGAGACTGATCATAAATCACCACTCCCGTTGAGTAAGAAATCGCAAACAAACAAAAAATGTGAAAGATGGCGGTTGAAAATCGCCGAGTACGATTTCGACGTCAGACACATTCACGGGATTCAGAACTCAATGCCTGATTATCTATCCAGATATCCTGTCGATGATGCAGAAGAAGACCGTGATGATGTCATTCCCACGTCCTCAAACTCAACTCAGACGTATGACGAACTAAACCCAGAAGTTTCTTCAATCGTCGCTGCGGTACAAACACGTTCAGCAACGAGACAGTCAGCGTCACATAACCCCTCGACAAAAATAACATCATTACAAACAACAGAAAAAACAATGTCTCTCGACAGCACTAATTATTGGCCTCATTGACTTAACGGTGATCCAGAAGTTCTTTCTCGGGAGAACTATATTATTCCATTTACTCTTGAGCAACTGAAAGAGGCACAGTACGATGACCTTGAATTGCAATATCAAGAATCACAAGAAATATCTCGTTCAAAATGATATATTAATGCGCCGAGCCTTTCCTCCATATGTTTCAAAAGATGGATATCGGTCAAGCATTCTCAAAATCTACCATGATACATCAGCTAACGGAGCACATATTGGTCGTGATAGAACAATTAAAAAGATCAAAAAACGTTATTTTTGGCCCTCTATGAACAAAGATATCGAAAATTATGTGCAGTCCTGCATTCCTTGTGCTCAATTTAATCCTCGTCGTCAAAAAGCTTCCGGTGCATTAAAGCCCATTAAACCTCCAGATGGAGTCTGGTAACTGTTGACGATGGATTTCCATGGTCCCATTTCACCAACATCAAAACGTGGTAACAAATACAGCATCTAATAGACTAGATCATTCATCTCATCGTCGAACATCAACGAGAGATCGGTCTAATAGACCAGGTCATTCAGCTCATCCCGAAGCCTCATTCAAGACCAACAGATCGATCATTCAGATCTGATCATTTCCATCAACCAACACCAGCAAATCCGGGTGAATTAAGAGAGGACAGAACAGTGAAGAATTATCTATAGAAAATTTGGATAAAACAAATTTTTTTCTCTGGGGGGAGGACTGTTACAGGCCTAGGCCCTGCACATAACGCGTAATCATGATCTAAGCGTATATTATTGCATCATCTCGTCACATGTTTAGCCGCGTGACTTCTAGGTCCTACATGTTTTATTGAAGAATTATTTTCATCCTTCGTCCAGTCCCTTGTTTTCTACATTTATTCGTTTTCTCCCTCGTTCATATATATCTATGGTTCTTTTCCGTTGTTCTCTGTTTTATCCATAGATATATAAAT